AAGGTTGCCGATCGTGTGTTTGTAATCCCGTTGATTCTTTTGGCGCCTACGCACCATGCCTGGCGCCAAAAAATAATACATTGAAATAAAAGTCTATTACCCCCAAGTTATGCCAATTTCTATATTAAGCAACAATTTCTGCGAATAATAAACGTTTACTACAAAATTCGTTACCATATTATTGTTCCACATTTTGTCCAAATGTATTAATTTTTTTCAGATTTCTGACTGCTATTTTTTCTCAGATACAATCATTTGTAAAACCGTGGGAAGTATACTTGCCACCAATTTCCACGTAAATTTCATATATGGGACTCTATTTTTCCACCTATGATTTGGGCTGTCATCTGTTGAAAATTTCAGAAATTCTCAATAACAAATTCCAATAACTTGTAAACAAATTATGTTATCAAACAGCTTTATTTGCGCAAGTGTGAGTAACGTTAAAGGTTAACCAACTTTTAGGTTAGTAAAATAGTTAGTAAAGGCTAGCAGTCTAGGATCAAAGGCTAGAAGTCTTGGATCAAAGGCTAGTAACATTTTAGCGTTAACTATTCACAGATTATTTTCATCAAGGAAAAAAAGATATAGAAATCTGTATATTCACTATAGTAAAGAATATGATACGAAAAATATCAACAATAGTTTAAGCATTCATTGAGACCTGAGGTGGCTTAGAGCGCTCGCCTTTCAATGAGGTGAACCAGGTTCGAATCCTAGGTAAGGCAGGTCGATACGTTTTTCGTACTCGGCTTGCATCGGTCACAGTGCTGACGTAAAATATCCTCAGTGGTAGATCATGGATTAGAGTCTCCAAACCGTGAAAAGTTTTTGTGGTTTTCCTCTCCATGTTGCGCAAGTGCGAGTTAGTTCTATCAAAAAAGTCCTCCACGAAGGCAACATTTCTCCCAATACTAGATCCAGGTGTTCCCTTGTCTCCTGGATTGGGTTCAAAAGTCCAAGGCTACGGAGTTGAACATTAGTAGTCGTAAACCCAAAATCAAGTCGGCTATTCAATGACAATTATAAAATCATTCAATGAAACTGAGGAAAGATTCTAATTATTATTATTTTTTAAATTTATTTCTTCACTGCATCCACTGACAATCAAATATTTTGACGTATTTAATCCCTTTTTCTTAAATAGAGATTTTTTAAATTTCGTTTTAAACATTAATTTGTTACTCTTAATGTGTGAACATTTTCTTACATTATTTTTTATAAGGATACTAAAAATGTTTGTTATCATAAGTAAGTTCCTTCATTTTGTTATTGAGTTAAAAACATAACGGCATATAATTATTTTTCAGTCAAATGAGGCCAAGAAAAATCTTTCGATTTGAGAAAGTTTGAAGCAAAAATTAACTCTTGTCTATGCATTGTATTTTTTAAGTGTTCTCTTGTTTTCAGCCATGAAATAACATTAGTTACTAAATAATATTAAAATGAAAAACATTAAATGAATTTGCTCGATTTTTTCCTCAGTTGCATTCATGAATGATTCTAGGTTTTGTTTTCCTATTGATTAATTTTAAAGTAAATTATTAAAATATTATACCTTGGAGTTCTTTATAATAATTAAATATCTTTTCCAAATATTATTTTGGCTAAAAAAATTTAATTCGATGAGTGCACTTTTAGCACAAAAGAAACGAAAAAAAATACTTAAATTGGAAGCTATTCAATTTTACAAAGGAGGGCATCGAAGCGAGATAACTATTTATTTCTTAAGAAAGTTTAAAATATTAAAACTGTAGATTTTAAGAAAAATTATAGTTGAAATTTCAAACTGCAGTATTATTCATAAGAAATTTAAATTATTATTGTGACATCAAAACTGAAGTTCTAATGAAAGTAAATAAATCAGGAGAAATGCTTATTTTTTTTAAACAATTCAAATGTTACAGTTTACCATCTTATTTCTCTTTTTTCTTTACATTTAAGCTTCCAAAAAATAATAAAAAATCACTTTTCACATGCGTTTCACGTTATTTTTTTTTAATAAGCAAGTATTTTTGTTAAAACCTTATTTTGAAAGGAAACTTATACAAATCTTCATGCTTTGCCTATAATAATCTCCTTTACAAATTTTCATGTGAAATCTAAATGAATTTGTTTGGGCAGTTACGTAAAGAGAACTTGTAAGAAAGTGTTTGTAAGCAACCAAGTAAACTCTATTGGTTGTCTTCATTAATTTTATATTATGCATAAGGGTGTTGATGAGCAACCTAGAAATGTGTGTTTTGTTCAAAATAAAAAATAAACATTAATCGATTTTATATATCAATCCTGTATATTTTTTAGTTTTCTCCATTTATTTACTAAAAGAAATTTTGGAAAGTGCATTTTCTTCATGCTGATAACTTAACCATACCGATATTCATTGTGCTTCCTGATATTGTTCTAATATAATAGTAGGGACGTGCCTAATGTAATTCAGATTTTAAAAAAATTGTAGAAATAAAAGTACTGAAATCAATTTTAAATCATTCTACATCATTTGATTGACAAATCACAGCGCAGAAATGCGAAAGTAATAAATATCGAAACAGAGTTAATAAGAGTACGAAACGTGAATGTGTTTTGAAAAATCTTTTTTGATAATTAGAAATTCATTAGAAGAAACGGAGAGGAATATTAAAATATTCCTCTCTGTTTCCTCCCGCAATTATTGCTTACTATATTCGCTTTCTTACATTGTGCCTTTTAAGATTTAGACTTTTCGTTTTTTGTAAAAAATTGATATGGTTGTCTTTGAAAATATATTTTATTTAATGTCCACTAATACATTACAAAATGTATTATTTTTGAATAAAGTATGTTGTGTAATATCTAGTTAGTAAAAAACGATACAAGAAATTGCGTTGTTTTTGTAAAAAACCTTTTAGTTTTAATAACCAGTTAGTTTAGTTAAATAAAGTACGGAAAATTTATTCTTTTATTTATATCCGGTTAGTTAAATACTTTACAAGAAATTTAATTGTTTTTGAGTTAAGCATTTTAGTTTTAATATCTAATTGGTTAAATTAGCAACGAAAAATTATTATTTTTTTAATTATTTTTCTTCAATGGCACGCCAGCCCAGGGTGAACCATGGCCTTCTCAGAATCAAGTTCCAAGCTGTCCTCTTTTTGGATAGCCTCTTCCAGTTTGTAACTTTGAGAACTCTTGAATCTGTTTCTATGCACTCGATCCACTGGATCCTTGGTCTTCCCCTTTTTTGGACTCCAGATGGTTTTACGACAAAGATCTTTTCTGTGGCCCGGTCATCGTTCACTCTAATCAGGTGTCTTGCCCATTTTAGTCTTTGAACTGATATAAGTTTTATTATGTCTGACTCTCTGTAGATCCTATAATGTTTTGAATTTATTCTTTTCCTCCAACTTACACCTTTCCAAATGCTTCGCAGTATTTTTCTTTCAAAAGCCGCTGAAACTTCCTTCCTTCTTCAGTCATTGCCCACGATTCAGCAGCTTATGTAGCTACGAGCTTGATCAAGCAGTAATTTTCTTTAGAGCAGTAATTAATCTTTGTAGAGCAGTAATTTTGTTTTCCTGCTGATGAGGTTAGATTTTAAATATTTGTGCATTCCATAAAAACATCTGTTACTAGCTGTCACCGGAAGTAAGGGATTTAAAAGTCTGTTACGTTTTTTCTGGTGTTACGTCATTAATATTTTTCAATTCTGAGCCCAAATAAGTGAAATTATTAACTATACTTTAAAACTGTTGTCCCCTATTTTGAGATGTGTCTCATTAAAACTGATAATCGCCATGTATTTGTTTTTTGTTTTGTTGATTGAAAGATGCATTTTCTTTGCCTCTTTTTCCCAGGAAAGGAAAGCCTGTTTGAGAGCCACTGGGGTCAGCGTGACTCCAGCAATATCATCAGCAAATGCAAAAATGTGCACAGTTTTGTGGACAATTGTTCCTCTGGTGTTAGTTGCAGAATCTTTAACAATCTTTTGGAGAGCAAGGTTAAAGAGTAGGCAAGCCAGTGCACCATCCTGTCTGAGACCGGTTGGAAAATCGACATGTTCTAATAGGTTGTTCTGTACTTTGATTTTAAGTTTAGTTTTTGTTTAAATTGATTACGACCAACTCAATAAGCTTCTCGGGTATATAAACACTCTCATTGCCTGTATGAGTAACTCTCTATTTACTGAGCTGTAAGCTGTTTCGAAGTCGATAAACATGTAGCGCAATTTAATGTCAAATTCTCCAGTCTTTTCCATTATTTGCGTCAGGTTAAATTTATGTTTCGTCGCTGATCTTCCTTTCCTGGATCAGTATCTATTGTGACTATCAATATATCAGTGACTATCAATAATAATTTCTGTAAATGCAACTAGCCTGTTGAATAATATTCTAGAGGATAATCCAGAAAACGTACAAAGCAGACTAATACCTCTATAATTGGAGCATTCCAAAACACCACCTCTTTATGTATAGGGCAAATTGTGTTCAATTTCCAATCTTCTGGTAGAGCTTCATGAGTCCATACGAAATCAATAAGTTGATTGATTTCTTCAGCATTTCTAAATGCAGCATTTTTAATAAGTTCTGAGAGGATGGAATCTGAGCCAGGAAATTTATTGTTCTTTAGCTTCTTAATCCCCCCTATAACTTCCATTAAGGATGGCTGTAGAGCAATATAATTATTAACATATGGAAGGGTGCTGTTTAAAATCTCACCTTTGAATTCTCCTTCAGCAATTCATTTAAGTATTCTTTTCCTCGGTGAAGAACTTCTCTCCTGTCGTTTAATATGAACTTATCCTTGTCTCGACACACATTAGCTCTAGGTTTGAACTTTTTCCGACTGAGATTTATTTCATGAAAGAAAGTTTTGCTTTCATTAGATTCTCGTAGCTGTTCAGCATTCTTGAATTTATCTTTTATCATTTATCTTAGGATCTTCTTAGCCCGACAAACCTTTTTTTCCCTGTCTCCTTGCTTTCCTGTTGTCATCAACTGATTTTCTTAAATGTCTTCTCTGTATCATGTTTTAATATGCTTCCATTTTTGCTTGAGATGCCAGCATACACTCCTGATCGAATCAGACATTTGATTTAGTTTTTTTTTCATGGTGCCTAGCAAATAATTTGCTGTTATGATGGCATCCTTTAGCACACTCCATTTTGCTTCTACTCCTTCCATTTCAGCAAAGTTTGAAGAGTCAATTACCTCATTTAAGTTGAACTGGAGGCTTTTATTGGTGGCTTCATCTTTCAATCTATCGAATTCAACTCTCTTATGACTTTCACCTTTCAATTTACGAGCTTTTGAAATCTTAGCCCTCAGCTTAGCAATAACTAAGAAATGATCGGAATCATAGTTTGCACCCCGGAAGGATATTTCGTCCTGGATACCCGATACAAGTTGAGAGTCAATAAGTATATGGTCAATTTGAATTGGCGTTTTTCGGTCGGGAGATAACCAGGTCGCCTTGTGAGTTCTTTTGTGATTCAATGATGTACTGGATATAGTTACTCCATTATTAGTGGCAAAGTAGTTCAGACCGTTATCATTAGTGCTCTTATGTCGACTATGCCTTCCAATTGTCGACCTGAATTTTTTCTCTTTTTGTTTTCATATCACTACAATGATCCTGATATCATGTTTCGAACCGCTTCTGTATAGTGTACGAAGATCCTCAGAGTATAGTCCTTTCTTTTCCCCATCTTTATCTTCAGTAGGCGCACAGCATGAGCCTTAATGATACTATAGTTGAAAAATATTCCTCTCAATCGCATTTTGCATAATCGAGGCGATCTTGGAACACAGTCAATCACCAGATGTTTCACCTTCCTACTCAGAAGGAACCCGGTTCCAAAAATATATCTTGTTTTCTCTCAACTATAGTACACTTCATGGTTTGGTTTTTCTGCTCAATGATTCCTTCGTCAGTTCAACTCATTTCCGGCATGTCAAGTAAATTAATATTGTACCTGTCGAATTCCGAAATTAAGAAATGCAGTCCTTTGCTAAAATACAGGGTACGAACATTCCATGTACCAATACGCAGAGTCCCTAGTTCAGTTCCAGGTCAATTTCCTTTAGGCTGCCGGGTAGTTATTTTCCTTGGATTTCGTAACAAGAGAATCTTAAGGGATAAGGGAGTCAGCCCTACGTCCAACCCCCAGCCTGAAGGACTAGTTGTTTGTGTTTCGCTTTGTGAAGCATCTCCCCTTCTATCTTAGAAAGGCTTGTGCGGCCCTTCCAAGAGCCGAAGCTCCTCCTGCCAGCATAGCTTTCAGGATCGACAACACACGCAAGCCCTAACACCACGACAAGGGGAGAGTACTCTTTGTTTTATTAAGTTAGTTAAATACGTTACAGGGAATTGATCGAGTTGTTTTTTAATAAAACATCTTCGTTTCAATATCAAGTTAGTTAAATAATTTTCGAAAAATGAATCCTTTATTTATATCTAGTTAGTTAAATATGTTGCAAGAAACTGATTGTGTTGTTTTTTGAATAAAGTATATTGGTTTTAATATCTAGTTACTTAAATAAGTAACAAAAAATTTATTCGTTGTTTTATATCTACTTAGTTAAATATGTTGCAAGAAATGTATTGAGCGGTTTTTGAATCAAGCATCTTTCTTTTAATATCCAGTTAGTTAAATAATTTACAAAAAAATGATTTGTTTTCTTATATCCAGTTAGTTAAATAAGTAAGGAAACTTTTTTGTTTTGTTTTATATTCAGTTAATTAAATACGCTATAAGAAATTGATATACCTGTTTTTGAATAAAGCATCTCAGCTTTAATATCCAGTTAGTTAAATATATAGCGAAAAATTATATCTAGTTAATTACATACGTTACAAAAAAATGATTGAGTTGCATAATAGGAGTGTGTTTTATAATGTACAAAAATAAGAGATAAAATATTTTTGAGAAAAGTAGCGTCTGAATGCAGGTCTAAAGCAAAGATTTTGCGTGCTATAAAAATATTTTAACAAGAAAGGGTTTATGAATCAAAAGATTTACGAGCTACAATCTAAAATGTGAATCAGATATGCTCCATTATTTTGTAATAAATACAGATTTTTCGTCCTTTTACATAAAAGTACTATATTCAAGTGCCAAGAAAAGTTAGGAATAAATATTTTATTCAGCTACACTTAGATAGATCTTCAAAAGTTGTTTTTTTCTTTTTTTTTTTTTTAAAAAAAAAACCTTTTAAAGAAGAAAGTGAACAAATGGCGATATGGCGATTTCTTTAAGAAGAAAAAAACTGAGATATGAACAGTCGCAATGTTAGTAAAAGATGTATTTCAAGATAAAAAGCTGTGATGATGTAAAATGCTGCAATGTGTCGAAAATCTTTAATAAGCATTAGATTGTATTCGTACTGGATTGTAAGCTTGAATTCACTTGCAAAAAAAAAAAAAAGATTTAGTTTCTTTTCACATACTTAAATATGTTGAAACAAATTTGAAAAGAAATAAATTCTTTCAATAAATTGTAACTAATTCGCTGGCATTAAATATAATGTGCTGATGAATTTCAATATGCATCTTAANATATTCTAGTTGATAATTCAGAAAACGTACAAAGCAGACTAATACCTCTATAATTAGAGCATTCCAAAACATCACCTCTTTATGTATAGGGCAAATTGTGCTCAATTTCTTGTCTTCTGGTAGAGCTTCATGAGTCCATACGAAATCAATAAGTTGATTGATTTCTTCAGCATTTCTAAATGCAGCATTTTTAATAAGTTCTGAGAGGATGGAATCTGAGCCAGGAAATTTATTGTTCTTTAGCTTCTTAATCCCCCCTATAACTTCCATTAAGGATGGTTGTAGTGCAATATCATTATTAACATATGGAAGGGAGCTGTTTAAAATCTCACCTTTGAATTCTCCTTCAGTAATTCATTTAAGTATTCCTTTCCTCGGTGAAGAACTTCTCTCCTGTCGTTTAATATAAACTTATCCTTGTCTCGACACACATTAGCTCTGGGTTTGAACTTTTTCCGACTGAGATTTATTTCATGAAAGAAAGTTTTGATTTCATTAGATTCTCGTAGCTGCTCAGCATTCTTGAAGTGATCTTTTATCATTTATCTTAGGATCTTCTTAGCCCGACAAACCTTTTTTTTCCCTGTCTCCTTGCTTTCCTGTTGTCATCAACTGATTTTCCTAATTGCCTTCTCTGTATCATGTTTCGCTATTTTTGTGATTTTTCCTTAATTTATGATAACCAGTGTATTATTTTTCATTGTTATTTGTTTTGAATTCGAAGATATAATACTACTGTTTAAAGATGAGAGAACTTTTATAAAAATTAAATCTTTTGAATAATATTTGTAAATTTTTATAGGAATTCTAAATGTTTACATGTTTTGCAAAAATTTAAACAAATATTTATGCTTAAAAAATAGCATCATTACTCAAATTTGATACTTACAACAGACGCCATGCGTTGGTCAGTCAATCAGCAACCTTATGAGACTGTAACAAAACTTGATCAAACTGCTGAATTTCTCTTGATTTATACAAAAAAATGACCATTTCATGATGCAACTAAAACATTTCGAACCATTTTTGGTCCCATGACAGCACGATAGCTTGACTTCGAAGGCAAAGTTCGATATAACTGTTTCTAACCAATCACAAAGCAGACATTTTCCGTTTAATGGCTGTGGTTGAGAGAAACCAAGGAGATAAGAGGATAAAAACTAGTACAATACTCCGTGACAGTTTCATTTTGATACTACGCTCATAGAATAATAGTATAGTAAGCCGTGGTGGCTCGAGGGATAAAGCGTTCTCCTTCCAGTGAGGTGAACAGCGTTCGAATCCCAGCGATGGCTGATCGATACGAATTAAGCGCCCGGCTCGCACCGACCACAGTGCTGACGTGAAATATCCCCAGTTGTAAACGTATCATGGGTTAGAATCCTTTTGCTGTTAGGCTAACCGTGGGAGGCTCTCGTGGTTTTCTTCTCCATGTAACGCAAATGCTGCTTAGTTCCATCAACAAAGTCCTCCACGAAGACAAAATTTCTCGCAATACTTGATTCAGGACTTCCTTGTCTTCTCAATTGGGTTCAAAATTGCAAGGCTACGGAGTTGAACATTAAGTAGTCGTAAACCTAAAAATTAGGACGGCTGTTCAATGACTGTTATAAAAAGTAAAAAAATTATGGTATACTAATTTTTAATTAAGAGATGCAAATGTTACGAATTACATTTATTAAGCAATTTCGGGATTGAAATCCAAAACTATGAATATATCTTCATCAGTAGTTATTTTTAATTCATATTTTTTTATATTCTACTACTAAAAGTAAATTGCCAATATTTGATTATTTATCTTTTTCTTCAAGGTAGTTGCAATTATATCATCTCATTACAATTCTTGTTATAGACTCACATTTTCAAGTCTAGGTACATGCGTTTTTTTATGCATATTTATTTTTAAATTGCAAAAAAGATTGGAAATTATAAATTATTATCTATGCCGAATGTGAAAAGTATTTTTATTATACTTTAAAATTTTGAAATAGATGGTCATAAGAGCTTAAACGGTTTAATAAGGGGAATCTTGAAAATGAAAACTGTTAATCATGGCATCCGAAATCGTTTAAAATAAAATAATTTTTATAAATTAAACTAATCATTCAATTCTATTTAAAAAAATGTTATTAATACTTTGAATATTCTGAATACTTCAATTCAAAAGAGTCACAGTTAAAAATTCTTCCCCAACCTATGGTTAGGAAAACGCGTATGAAATTTTTTATTGGTGAAGGAAGAATATAGCACACGTGACCTGCAGAAAAGATAAGTCTTTTCGACGGACAACCCTTTTACTTCGATATTAATCTAATGTCACCATAAAATTTGGGAACCATCTGTCACAATCAATGAGCGATCGAACGAGTTCGAAGTTTCAGTTGCATGAGGTTTGACATACGCGTCACTTGCAGGTCCCCAATCAAATCTTATCCGAAAATTGATTCTGCGTGATACTACACACGAGCTTTAAAACTGTAACTAGTCAAGCGCAAACACGTGATTAGACTCAACCATGTGATTACTTGTAAGTATCCAATTGTTCCGTGTCTGGAGACAGAAACTCATTGAGATCATTCACTGTGCTGGAAATTCTCCGCTCTGGATTAACGACTTCCTCAGAAATAGAAAGTTTGTTGTGAAGGTCAATGGAAACTACTCAACTCACTTGGACAGGAGTATCCCAAGTCTCGGTCTTCAATCCCCAGCTGTTTCTCCTCTACATGAATACCATCCATGAATTCATAAATGGAGAGGCCAAGATAGCCTGCTTTGCAGATTCCATTGCCATCTGGAATACTAAACCTGACTTGTCTGCTTTTGAAGCTATCCTAAACACTAACCTGGCGAACGTACAAAGTTGGGCCACAAATCTTAAGCTCTTGATTAACCCAGATAAATCTAATCTCTGCGTCTTCACCACTGACAGAAAAAATAGGAAATCATTCCGTCCTAGCATCAAAATCTTCTACTCGATCATTAATCAAATTTCTAACCCCCAATTCCTTGGTCTCACGTTGGACACCGAGCTCAGATTCACCAAGCAAAATGAAGCCACCTCACTCAAAGCATTAAAAAAGCTCAATATTCTCAGGAAATTATGTGGTTCTACATGGGGTTCCAAACCGAAGACTCTCCTCAATACTTACACTACACTCATAAGACCAGTTTTTTGAATATGCAGCGCCAGTATGGGCTCCAGCATCCTCCTCATCAAAAAAGAAGATTGATACTGTCCAATACAGAGCTTAAATAATTATTATAGGCCCAGTTTCCTCAACTAACAACCTGAGTGATGAGATTGAATGCGGTCTCACACCACTTGAAAGCAGGCGAAAACTAGCCACGGTTAAATTTACCAATAAGATCAGGAGCAGCAGTGTGGAACACATTTCAAATGTTACTTTTCGGGCCTGGACCAACAGGAAAAGGTTGAAGAGATCCTCCACGCTCCAATACGACAAAGTTATCAGAAAGAACATCAGTCTAAACCACTCATGCCTTGACATTATTGAGGGACCATTTTTAGCTGTGAAACCACCGTCTACCGTTAAGATCAATTTAGACCTGCTGGAACCGTGTTCGAAGGAAGAACCACAAGAAATCGTTAAGATAAAGGGCATGGAAACTATTGCCAAGCTTTCTAAACCTGACCTTGTCACCGCTCACACTCACGGCTCTTCCAACTTAGAATGCAACAGAAGAGGTTATGGCACTTTCCTTCTCCTTCCAGATCAAACATCCCTCAAACATAGGGTCGCAGCCGGCAAAATCGCCTACAACTTCACTAGCGAACTGATCGCCATTAAATTCACTCTTGATCTTTACCTCTCACAGTCAGTCCCCTCGTCAGGCATCATCATTTTCTCTGACTGTAAATCTGCCCTGGAGGTCATTAAAGGGGGTAAAACGAGACTCGTCCAAGACATCAACGCTCTTCTGTCCACCATTGTTGCCAGGGAGAAAACCTGCACCATCCAATGGGTCCCCGCTCATTGCAACATTGAGGGGAATGAACAAGAGCGGACTCCCTCGCTAAAGAGACTAGAAATATTAATCCACCTCCCATGCAAATCACTTGCTTCGATGTAAATGCCGTCGCAAAACATCAGTTCTGCGGCGGACTTCGGAAAAAATGATGCCTTCCGGAGCTTAATCTTGACCGTGAAATCACCACTACCATCAGCAGCTTGCGGACGGGGCACATGAGAGGTATGAAGATCATGCCCGACGACTCTAGAACCTACGCAGGTTGCAGGCACTGCCCAAGAGCTCAGCTGGATCCAAGGCATATCTTCAGCTGTGTCTTTGTTGCCTCGGCCCTCTTCAACATTGACCTCAACTGCTGCCATGACATCCGTTATTCCGAAAAAGTCGGAGATGTGGCCAGGTCTGTGCTCCATGCCCTTGGTACCATTTAACTTGTACTTTTCTGCACCTGTCAAACGACAACAACAACATCCAATTGTTAGAATATGTTTTAGAAAATATACCCGATTACACTGCGTTAATACTGTGGAGTAATATCCCTCCGAATATGATGGTAGAACGTGCCAAAAGTCCCTGCGTTCTCATACGATTTTATAAAAGTGTATTTTAAATACGAACTCTAAAAATTAGTCAATAATAATCTTGCGTCAAACTTTCATGCTTTTACACCATTTGAGACTTATATTCAGTTTCGAAAACACTAATGTTAGCCGCTTTGTGTGTCAAACATTCAAGAAATGCTGAGTAGAATATCGCGAATAATTTGTTTGCAATCTGAACTCTTGAAGGTTGGTTCCTATTTTCAACGCTGATATTCATCAAGTGAAATAAACATTTGCCACTAAATATGTAGAATAATGATAATTATACTTTAATTTTTGAATCTCTGAAAGTTGTGTTAACTGATTTCAAAACGTAAACTCTTCTTTCCGCTTCTGTTCTGCTAAACCTTGATCGAATTTGCCCTAAAGTTTTTGTCTATGCTACGTGGAAGTTTGATTTGCACACTAAATTTATTTTAAGAATTAATGTATACATGCACTCTAAATTAATGGTTCTTACTTTTGATCATATCGTAAAACTAGCTTTACTGACTTATATATGTATCATATTTTACTATAATAAATTTCAATGTTACTAAATATATGTCATCCCAGTGTGACTAAATATATAATAATAAATGTATAATAACGATAATTATGTTTAAATATTTGAATATCTGAGAGCTGTGTTAACTGATTTTATATCGTATATTTTTCTTTCCGCTTCTGTTCTATTAAGCCTATTTCGAATTCGCTTTAAAGTCTTTCTCTGTGCTACGTGGAAATTCGATTTACAAACTAATTTTATTTTAAGAATCAGTGCATACATATATATTTTTAATTACTGATTCTTACTTCACATCATATCGCAAGAATAACTTTAACGACTCTTACGCACGTCTTATTTTATTGTAATAAATTTGAGTGTTACTAAATAAATAAAAAGGTTGGAGGACACTTTATACCAAGTGTTGTAACTAGAATGGCGTAGAAAAACACTATACCCAAGAGTTATGCATGGGGTATCACTACAGCACTTTAGTGTCAAGTAGTTGCCATCATTTTTGTCGTTGAATTACACAAATTATTTTTTACAGTGTACTGAGGAAAT